ATGTGCCAAAGGAAAGCACCAACATCCACATTTCCTTTTCCTGGACATGCAAGTGGCTGGCGTGGCTCTCCCAGACCCCTGGCTGTCTTTGGGCATCTGCTCAGCCCAACGGAGGAGTGAGGTGAAGAAACACAGTATCTGGGGAAGGGCTGGCAGCTGAAAACACCCAAGCGGAGGGGCTAGATGAAGCTCCCTCAGCACACCTTTGATGTTCACGCTTAAAGGAAGGAGCCTCGCCCCACACCCCTGTCCACCTGCTCACAATGCCTACACTGTCCAATGTCTTCCATAAACCACACACATCTGCATCTTCAGAGCCCACTGAGTTATGACACCAGCTGGGGGCCTGTCAGGCTGAAACGGCTTGGGACTCAATAGTCCTTCCTCCGGTCATTCCAGAGCACCCTCCTACTCATCACTAGAGCCCCAGGAACAGTGCCTCTGCCATCTAGGCCAGGTGCTCGTCTGTACTGTGGGTGACTTACCTTTTACATCCTGGTGACTGGAGAGCTGCGCGAGAACTGGAGGACGACAAAGAAGAGAATGGCTTCAGGCCACTGCACACCCCGCTCTGGCTCTTATTTGGAACCAATAAGCGGGCCTTACCTTCAGCTGTGAGGTTAAATTCAGCGGTCACCTTTCCGTAACTGTTCTTAATGCAGCAGTGATAGAAGCCCTGGTCCTTCTGACTGGCTTGAACAATGGCCAAGGAAACAGTGGAGTGGTCGCCTGCACTGTAATGGGGACATTAGCATTGATGAGCTTCCTCATCTTAAACCAGCACTTTTCTAATGCACTTAAAGGACAAAGACTGCTTCCCTGCCCTAATGCTGTCAGCCGGTGAGCTGGCTCAAGGACGAGATTGGTCATAGTAATTATAATACATGTATTATTTTATAGTAGAGTATCTATATTATATAGAGATTCTCCAGGTAAAATATTGAATGATGCAGGAAGTATCAAAAGATGGAAAGAATACACACAGAGTCACTGAACTGAAAAGAATTGGTCAATGTCCATCCATTTCAGGAGGTGGCATATGTTCAAGAACCAATGGTATTGAAGGAAAAAGTCGAAGCTGCACTGAAGGAACTGGTGGGAAACAAGGCACCAGGAATTGACAGAAT